CTTCTCACCTTGCCACCTATATAGATTTCCCTCCACACCGCCACCAGTGGTAGAGCAAAAATATAGGTCAAAGTGTCAATCCAAATAAACAAACACTGCCACCAAACCAAACTGAACTATAAGCAAAATAAGAACCCAAACTATACCCAGAACACCCAGAGCTACAAATGGCTCCTATACCAGTGTTGAAGGTAATGTTTTTAAAGGAACTGAAGATAATTTAATGTGTTTCTACGAAGAAAATATTTATAAATAAAAGTTTAAAAAATAGGAAAATGAAATAAACAGTCAGCAGCTATCCTCTGAACCACCTGAAGGTTTTGATGCATAAACAGCTAAAATATACAGGTTTCAGCTGCAGCCACCTGCTGTTACATAACCTGCCCGCTGATGACGTCACGAGCCGATCCACTCTGCTGACGTCACGGGACTTCTTGAGCGGCTCGCGGGGCTCCTGGCTCAGAGTGAGGATGAGGATGAGGAGCGCGCGGATTCTGCAGCAGGTCAAACGGAGCCTTCATCACTCTCCTCCTCTTCCTCAGCGCTCCGCGGGCATCATCGGAGCTCCTTTCTCCAAGGGACAGGTGAGGGACAGACAGGGGACACGTGGGGGACAGGGCACAGGACAGGTGTGTGTGCAGCTAACCTGTGTGTGTGTGTGTTTCAGCACAGAGGGGGTGTGGAGACTGGACCGGACCGGATCCGAGCAGCGGGACTCCTGCAGCGGCTGCAGCAGCAGGGTGAGTTCGGCGGGAGGTTCGGTTCTGTCAGGAGGACATTCTGTCCCGGATACTTTTACTCTGATTACTTCTTTACTTCCTGCGAGGCGGCACATCAAAGAGCTTCATTAAAATAAATAAAACTGATTAATCGATTCTCTGCTGAATTAATAAAACTAACGCAGAACTTTATCTGGTTCTGATCCAAAAACTAAGTTTCATTTCTTCAGGTTCCTGTTTTTATACTAAACTTTAATTTGTAACATTATTTAAACTATTGGTTACAACAAAATGAAAGTTATTTTATTTTATATTGACTCTGAGACGTCAGAGGTCAGAGGTCAAACTCAGGTCAGACTCCATGAAGGTGAGTTCAGTGTCCTCAGCTCTGATGGAAACATGACTCAGCATGTTTATGTTCTGTTCAAATAATAAACACAACCTGCAGGATCCTGAGGACACACATGTCCTCAAACTGTCCTCATGCAGGTAAAGATGTCCTGAGGACCAGAGTTCTAAAGTAACTAAGTACAAATACTTTGTTACTGTACTTAAGTAGATTTATTGGGTATCTGTACTTTACTTGAGTAATTATTTTTCTGCCTACTTTTAACTTCTTCTTATATTTTTAAAAAAGACAAGAAGTAGAAAGTCGTTACTTTTTTTAATTTTTGCTTGTTTTCATTGCAGCTTGTTGTTGTAAAAAATAAAAACTGTCCATATAAACTGAGCCTCCTAGATAGAGTGAATTTAACTGTGGTTGAATGAGAAGTATAAATATATAAAACTCTGATAGTGTATTAGTTTGTACACAAACAAATCATGTCACACTCCAGCAGGACATAGTCATCAAAATGAAAGTACTGTACTTAAGAAGTATTTGCATAAGTGTTTGGCCGCAGCCCTCAGATAGATTTTCTTTTTGGGGAAAAGCTTTGTGCAGCCTTGATATATGTATATAAAC